GGAGCAGCTAAGGAAGAGGGAGGGGAGAAGGGAAGCCTGTTGGCAGAGTCCTGCATGGATGGCTTGTCCCTTCATCTTGCAAAAGGTCGGCGCGCCTGCTCTAGGTTTTGTAGTTCCTTGAACCGGTATTTGTCAGCTTGAAGCTGAGGTGGATTTGTCAGCCTTGATTGAGCTGATATCAGTTCCTTCACGTCAGCTGAGAGCTGATGACCACCTGGGTCAAAAAAAGGGTTGACGATTGATGGTAGGATCACATTTTGGGAAGGGTCTAAGAATCCGTACTGCCCATCGCAGCAAAGGCAAATACCCAACTGCGCTATACCTGGGTTGGCAGTGTTGCTTGCTTGATGTGACTGTGTCTTTTTTGCGAGACATGGTTTGGGTTTGGTCTTTCCAAGTTGCGTTCTTGGATGGTTTGCGCGCTGCGCTCAGAGCGAGCTAGGGTGCAAGCAAGCTTGTTTGTGTATAACTACAATGTGGCGTGGCGTCATGTGGATGCTTGCATTCCGCGCGCTGGCTGTTTGTTCGGCCTTGACTTCTGGAGCTGTTGGGAAAAGGCTGAAATGTGCGTCGCGTGGGCAATTTGGAGGGTGTGTGCGGAGTGTGCAGGCCAGGTGCAGATGCAGGGGGCGCTGACGCTTACCAACGTGTTGACATCAGTTTGGAAGAAGGTGGGGGTATGTCGCTGCGATTCCTTTGTATTTGCGTGTGTTGCCCAGGCCCAGAGAGCTTTATTCAGGCAGAGAAGTTGTGGCAGGAAAGCAAGGCGGGCAACGCTTGGCATTGGGCAAGCTGTAGTAGCCAGTGAGTGAAAGCCGGTTCTGCGCCATACTAGTGGTTTTTAAAGCTGCTCTTGACGCTCAGCCAAAACTGAGTTAGTGATTGGTAAGGAAGCCGCTGGTTGTTAGAAAATCGCGTCCTCACTCGTAAGCGTGTGGGAACGTTGGTTTGGTAGTTGATTACAGTACCTCTCCTTTGCATTTCTTTGCATGTGAATATATAGATGACGCTTCAAAATGTTCAAAAACACAATTGTCTGCCAATGTTGCACGCTGTCCAAAAGCGAGGCTGACCTGGAGTTTGCCACTTCCGCAGCGGAGAAGCAAACGCGCCTGAAGCAGAAAATGTCAGAGCTGCTGGCAGATTCCCAAGCCCTCCGGTAGTTTGACTTTACGCGTAGCCTCAGTGTCTTGGCGCGTGTTTTGTTGACAATGTTGGCAGGCAGAAGGCTCGCGGGCTGGAGAAGGCCTTGGGCAGCGCGCCCACACTGTAATACAATCGGCAGATATCGGCAGCCTTTGCCACGAGAGCGGGCCAAAGCCTGCGCGCACGGATGGATACGTCTGCAGCCCCCCCCACCTGGATTCAGGGTAGTCGTGATCGGGCCCTTTCAAAACATGTTGAGATGCAGTTTTGCGGGGTCGGATCCCTCGTTCTGTTGTACTGCAGGGACCGTTGCAGGGCCAATCGCCCCACGCCCAAACCCAAACACTTGATTCACTTGATGTTGTGTACTGGTGTTCTTGGTTGGGGAACGTTGCAGGGATACTTTGCATAGGGGATTCACTCCACACCCCAATCCCCTTCCAGTTGGACATGTTGTTCCTTGAGTTCAGGTGGTCTTTTTCGTCTGAACAGGTGTTGTTTGCTCAGGAGCCGCAACTTTTCTTGCGCCCTGCACCCGCCCCAGATGGGAGCTGTGGTGAAATGCGCGAAGCCACGCGAGGCCTAGGCCTAGGAGCCATTGCACCATCCCAATGGATGGTTGTTTAGGGGACCAGGGTTGGTGCCAGGTCTGAGGTGCTCCCAGCCTGGCGCCACGTCTTGGAGTCGTCGCCAAAAGGCGTGAGCGCTGATTTTGGGGA